GCTTGTTATAAAAGAGTAAAATATATTTTTCAGACTTCTGTAATAAGAAACACGTAAATGTTTACTATCGTCAGCTGTTAACTCCAGTTTACCGCTATTTCAGCACCTTATAGTCACCGATGAATCTTTATATGACTATATATATAGGTTAGTGATTTATTATTGGAATATTAACTAGTGAGAGGCAGTTGCCAAACTACTAAAAATATATTACCTTCACTAGATGCTGAGTCTCTCAATGATGAAACTGCTGGATTTAAAGGATCAATGTAAATAAACCTTGGTTCGTCAAAATAACTCACTCTATGTTTCAAATAATTCGAAAAAGGCTACACAGGGGTTATTTGCACATAATCGTCCCTAATTCTGAATGATAAATTTAAAAAAAAGGCAGCTAATCAATAGTATCCATCACCAACTCACATGTTTTTTTGTCTGAGCGAGTAGTTAGATTTGACCGTTGCTGTTACACGGCTCCAAAGAAGAGTGCAGGCTTCCACTTACGAAAGTCCGCACGACATTCACATAAAAACTACTGTTATCACATAGTTAGTCACACAGTGTGAAACATACAATAACTTAGAACCTTGACTATGTGTTAACAGTGTGAATAAATCACAATAGGACACAAACTGGTTACCCTTTGGCTCATCCAGAGTATGGCCATCCAGTAAACCATCCACAGTATGGCTATCCTGTACATCATCTAAAGTGTAACAACACTGTAAACCATCCTAAATATAGCCACCTTTTACATCACCCACAGTGTGACCACTCTGTGAATCATTCACAGTGTTGCCACTCTGTAAATCATCTACAGTGTGAAAACCCTATAAGCCATCTAAAGTGTAGCCACCCAGTGAAATATCCACAGTGTGACCACACAGCAAACCATCCACAGAGTAACCACCCAGAACCATCCACAGTGTGACTACCCTGTAAACCATCCAAAGTGCAGCTACCTTGTGAACAATCCACAATGTGACCACCCAGCAAACCACCTATAGTGTGACCACCCAGCAAAAATTCCACAGTGTAGCCACACTAACTAGTCCATTGTATGTCCAGTTTCCCAATTCTGGGACAAAGTTGTCAATATCAAAATTTCCAATTACAGCATTTGTTCTCAAGCTATTGTACGAAACAGCGTATGGCACAAATGAAAAACACATCTCAGCTTAATTGTTCATTAAATGACACATCACATATGTAGCCAGAGTAATATACATTTAATAAGTTTATTTACACAGCTAAGATACAAAACAAATCCAACAAGTTACTACACTATTTTCATAAATAATTTCATTTGACTTGCACCACGTCTTTACATTTTTTACAAAGGGCTCGCTACCGCGCTCCCTGATAATATTCTAACAAATGTATAGTCCAAAGCCATTGGAACATAACAGTAAAAACACAAAGCTAAATCAGAAATTCTTTTTTAGTGTATACATAATTTTAGATTTCACTAAGAAAGACCTTCATTAAAGTTAGGTATTGGTTTGAAAATAAAACCAAATCTTGAAATTTATTGTTCATGATGCAGTTATTACACAAGGAAGTTTTAAGTCACTGTATGACTGACATTATTATTAGTTAGGGTGTAAGTAAATAGTTCAGTTTAAAAAAAAACCACATAAATCAAGAAGCATTAAGCATAGTTAGACTAGTAAAACTATTATATGTTTACGTTTCCATCTGATGGATTTGGGCCCGGCATGGCCGGGTGGCTAGGGTGCTCGACTCGCAATCTGCGGGTCGCGGGGTCTAATCTCTACCTCACCAAACATGTTTGCTCTTTCAGCCGCGAGAGCGTTATAACGTGACGGTCAATCCCACTATTCGTTGGTAAAATAGTAAACCAGGAATTAGCGGTGTGTGGTGATAACTAGCTGCCTTCCCTCTAGTCTTTCACTGCTAAATTAGAGACGGATAGCGCAGATAGCCCTCGTGTAGCTTTGCGCGAAATTCAAAAATAAACAAACTGATAGATTTTCCTGTGATCTTAAAGATGAACTAGTAACAACGCTAACTTCTAACAGTTTCATTGATTTCGAATGTGTAAGCTTTACATTAAGTACCTTCTTAACTGTTCTTTGCGTTTCTTAAAAGAACCCTAAAAAGGTATTTCATTATGAAATTAGTTTTATTCTTGAAATTCAACTATTGTTCTCACCCAGTTTCTCAAAACTACTGTCTTAAAATGTATGTCTACAGTAAACAATAGTGCATTTCTAAATAACTAATATATCAAACAAATTATACTATTTTATAAAGAAGGAAGTTAAAATAATCTAGTCAGACAACAATCGGTACAATCTACACATATATCTTATTGTAATAACTTTCTATTAAGCTCTTCCAGTTACTCCACTTTCTCTTTTTCTTTTCTAAGCCTGTTATGTAATACTCTAATGTACCTATTAAGCAGAACTAGGTTGGATCACGAATGTAGATCGTCATTTCACCTTCTGGATCAGTAAAAGTATGCCGTATTATAAATCAAAGTAACGTATGCGGTTCTTTTCGATACCCTTTGTTTCTTTGTCTGTGTAACATATGTATAGATTCAAGTAATTTATTTTACAATCGCCCTTCTTCACATATACATAGCTGCATTTAGATTATGTTCATAAACCATTAACCTGAGGGATATTATTTTAAAATCTCTTACGTATCCAAAATTCACAGGCTGCAAATATCTTATATCACCGATATTAACATTGAAGGAAAAGTTAGGTGGCGTTAATAAAATTTTTAAACCAAAACATTAACTCCCAATTCAACAATATTATGTTATCAAAACAAGATACATAACACGTGACTTTTGTTGTAAATACTTAGCAATTACATACAAGAAGAAATGGCACTGAGTTTAATGGGTACGTACAAGTTCTCTTCAAAGATCTGCTTCCTCAGCTTTCTACAAATCCAAATAGTTATATACCAGAAGAAAGGACAAGGAGATACCCAGAGTTTTCTTTAAAAACATTCTTTCTTAGACTTCTATAAATATAATTAATTATATACCAACAAAAGAGCACGAAAATAAATAACTGGTAAATATAAATAGTCTTCATAAAAATTTGAATTTAGTAGAATTTCATGCTGTTGTTTTTTCCTTCAGCTTATATTGTTTCATCTACTTCAATAAAACTATCCAACATTAATCCTCGGAGTCAGAAAGCATATGCATTGATGACGTAGAATGTATAATCGAAAGTAAAACAGTTATATATATATATATAGTTAGACGTTGCTTAACAATAGTTAAAATTTTTAATATTCCTACTAAATGATAGAACTTACATTAAGTATTATTATAAACATTGAATAATCTGTTTTGCGATTTAGTTATGAAAATTATTCGAAATTATACACCCATTGTCCGTATTGTTATTATTACCAACAATAGTTTTGGTAATGCATAAAACAGCTGAGTTACTTAACACTAAGAACAATTGTTTTTGCTGAATATGATCCGCCACTTTGTGCGTTTCTACCAGGGATGCTATGTTTCACCATTCCAATTGTACTTGAATTGTCCAATATCCATTTAAGAGGAATAAATTCCTTGGTTAAAAATTTCACTTCTTGAGTTTCCACCCATTTGACAAGCACAAAAAGTATTCTCACACTAGTCTAAAACTTAATTATACAAACTGTTAAAGTAAATATAATTCTAACGTAGTACTCTAACATATATATAGTACCACGTGTTACTGTTAGACTTTTGTTGCGAAGTTGTAACCGCTCAAAACTAGTTTTAAGAGAATCTATTAGCAAAATGAAAAAAAATAAGAGAAAAATAAAAATAATATTGTAAAGATACAGAAATTATTCTTCAAATGGATTGTTTGTCGTTAATCACGATGGGCTATCTTTGCTGTGCTGAGAGACTTCTCAAATGAAAAGTGGAATAAATTAGTAATTTTGTTTATAAGTTTATGTAAACAAGTTTCAGACGAATTGGGTAAAGAAAGATTTTACACGTCTAATTCTCTCAAGCAAATTCCTTCATAAGAATTAATGAAAAAGTAAACTACAAGAAGTTTGTAAAACGTCGGTTTTCTTGTTTGTTTATAAAAATCTCGAGAATATTATACCATTTTCTGATTTAAAGTTTAAGCAAGTCTCAAAATATCTCAGTAGAATATATATAAATGCTCATAATAGTGTTGAGTCCGGACTATGTGAAGAAATAAAATACCGTGTGTACGCGTAAATGTGAAACAAATTACAGTGTGTGTGTTGCTCGTTTGAAAAGTGTGCGCCTGTCCATAGGGTTGCCATAGTGATTTCTCATAATACGTATTGTTTTCCTAAAATGTCAGTATGTTTTCTACGTGCTTTTTCTGTAAGTGGTGAGCCAGTAATTATTGGATCGACAGTTCCGGCACGATAAGCACTTAGCTACGTCCGACCCTTTTCAAGTACAGAAAAAAATATCAAATATAGAAAAGAAAAAACAACATTGAAACACTAGAAGGGAATTTAAAACAGGCGCTGTTTATTTGCCTTTTCTTAGAATTGACTACCTGATCTTATAAGCGCTTTATCAATAGAACTGTTGATTGTTAGGAAATATCTCAAAGGAAATATTTATGCAGACTTTGTCATGAAACTTTCTACGTCGTACTTCTACACATTTTTGGCCATTTAAGGAGTGGAGAAGGTGTGAACTTTTAACTTTTCCCGAAGTAAGCAGATGACAAATTGTAACTGTGATATGATATTTTACCATTTACTTGACAACTCAATTCAAAGTGTTAAGAACATTTTTATAAAGTGTTTCAAAGACAGTCTCGTGTTCGTTGATTAAACTTTAAAGTGTCATAACACGCAAAATAGGCACATAATAATGATTTTATTACTCCAATTTCAATATATCTTTCACCCACTTTCAGTTCAATAAGATTACTTTTAGCACTTCTCTGGCACCATCATTTCCAAACCGTCTATCTGACTGACATAATGTGGTATGATACTTTTTTTTTCACTTACCTTTCTAAACTCATTGCCATTATGGTGAGGACAGATGACGACACTGTGAGGTTTGCCACGAAGTTGTTCATGAGGCAGTACGTGTGACCAAAAGGCCAGTGACTGTCCAACATAAACACAAAGTTGAACGTGGTATTGAACAAAGTCATTGTAAAATCAGCTGACGACAGATTCAATATAAAATAATTTGTGACTGTTCTCATTCCCCTATGAGCCAGAACTACCCATACAGCTATAGCATTCCCAATCAAGGCAATGACAATCATTAAACCAAACAAAATCCCCCAAAGCATCTGCTGCCACCAAAAAAGAACGAAAGGTCGGGTCGTGGGCTCACTGGAAGAGGATTTTTCTAAACACAAACTGAGAAGTTCAATTCTGTCCGATATTGTTATATTTTCACCTGTTTCATTCACTTCTATATTCCATGATTCCATACAATCAAAGATATTTTTAAGAATCATTATCTGATCGCGTGTAAAGTTGTATTGGAAGACTGTGTCTGCTTTATCTTCAAAGTCAGTCTTGAAGCCAACATTTCCATAAAGGTTATCTAAAATATTCAACAATTCTGTTGCGTTAAATCTCATTGCCACTGTTTTTTAAAGTTATATAAGATTATTTCTAGTCTCTCTGATCTCAATAAGACACGACTTTCTTTTAACAGGCTCCCTGACTAGGTGTATTTCCATGCGTGAATATCGTTCAGCATTAGAAATATTCAGTTATTATAAATATATTTGTTTTAGCTTACCGACAAACCAGATTCCCGTTCGATTTCAATTTCACGTTGAAGCTTTCTGTACAACTAGCGAAACAACAAGTGGAAATAGTATAAACTTCCCGAATATAAAGGGACAGTTTCTCTAGGCTTCTGGACAGAGCTTATCTTCTTTCGAGAATGATTACAGTGGAGGTTCTGCTCTTCTGAACATTTAGTCTTTTTCCACAGAAGATTGCCAAGGCGTGTCTCTGTTTTGATTGGCTAGGTAGAAATAGCGAATTCCCTTGTTCCGTAAATAGCGCATGTTCTCATTCGCAAGTTACAAATAAAATGACAGGTATTGCAAACTGTCTTTCCCTAGAATTCTAAGATTCATATATGTTATAAATCTCTCTAGCTGTAACATTTGTATATTAAATATATACATGCATATAGAGATTCCATGTTTTATTTTAAAGCCCTTCACTTAAGCATGTAAGTAATATACAACAAGATAAATAAGCACAAGGTCAATATTAAATTCTTATTTCAGCCATCAATAATCTAATTACTTTTAATTTTGGGATTAACGCTGTTTTATATCACACTTCTGACATAGCATTCAGGCAATAGCATGAAATAAAAGCTATTAAAAGTTAATGGCTTACATTCATAAAGTAAGGTGCCTGAATGAATGCTACGTATATCCAATAACTAAATGAGCTTGGTGACATAAGAACAACTTTGATGTTACCAAAGCGATATCTATTTAAGTAAAAATAAAAGTATAATCTTAAGCTCGTGCCTCTTTATTTTGTTTTATATACATATACTCTCACGTAGGATTTTTATATGACTTCATTTGTTTTGTAATTGAGAGATGTGGATATTAGAAATTATTAGAAATAATACACTTGTACAACAATTTTATTGACGAATGCGAAAGTCTTTTGTGTATTATTGTACAGAAATTGCAATGAAATACAGAATACTGCAGTTTTTATACGATTAAATAGAAATGTTATGATTGTTTATCTAAAATTGGGCTTGTAAGGTATAATAATGAAGGTTTAAACTTGAAAATTATTTGTACTCAGGAATAATTTCAAAAATAACTCCAATTTTATTTTCTCGCAGGAATAATTATTCTTTTGTGTATTTATAAAAACGTATACTAGATGACACTACTAGCGCAATTAATTACTGTTTATGTATTTTGAAGCAAGGTATGCTCTATTCCTCCTTCATTGATGGTATTGGTTACAAACTTTAATAGATATTTTTGATTATTTTAGATTCTTATATTTTTGTTCTAAAATGTTTTTTAATGTCTAACTTAGTATATGGATTTAGGACTTACGTAAATATCCTAATCTGGTCGAAGCTCAGATATAATTGGGACAATGACCGAATATATCACAAATAGAGTACCCAAGTGATGAAAAACAATGCATTCTAATCAGTGCGAGAACGTAAGAACAATACATTTAATCATCTATATTCGTTCAATCGTTAATTTTTAGTTCCTAACTATGTATGCAGATTGCTTTGATCAGAAGCAAGTTTTTGTTGTTAACCACAAAGCTACAAAAGGGGATAGCTGTGCTTTGCCCACCACAGGTATCGAAACCCGTATTTTAGTGTTATAAGACCTTATAACGGGCGCTTGGTGGCCAGATGTTGATAAATGCTTTAAAAATACACACACACATATACATACTTATGTATTAATTCCAATTGTAATGAATACAAGTGACAACTACATATAATATGAAAACAATCTGCTAATGTTGTTTTAGTTAAACTAACGACTTTTTCAGAGAAATTTTGATTAAAACTTTTACGTATTTTTAAAGACTTATGTTCTACAGACATCTTGTATGATGTCATTGCACTATTTAACTTGCAACTACTTAGAATATTTCGGCTTTAAAATGTAAATCACTTATGTTTTATTCAACACCTTTAAATAAATATTTCTGTTAACATTTTAGGGATCACTGAATAAAGTTTCTTCAATAATGAAAAGAGTCCTCTATGAAGGTTGTTACTAAAACTAATGTTAACTTCTAGTACATAAAGGAGAATGTGAGTGCAATTCGTGCTAAGCAAACTAACTCCTCTCACAATAGTATTGTATCTAATCTAATGTTAATATTGAGATAATTGTCAATTTTCTCTGTCCTTCTGTTCAATCCTTAATGTGCATGGTTAAAAGGATCATTTTATTGACGAAGAGGTGATTTTACACAAAAGCACAAGAAAAGCAGTTGTATTTTGATAAATTAGGAAGAACATTTATTCCTATTTTGCTGCACATACGTCTAGTGGTAAAATTGTTTTTGGACAATTTGGTTTACGTGAAAATGTATAAGTGGAGGACATCACAATTCCATATTGTTTCCACCAAATGTCCCATTTTCCATAACCATATCAATTGTCTGACTTTGTTATAATATTCTGTTTGTTCTGAACAACGTGGCCCCCCAGTGGCACAGCGGTATGTCTGCGGACTTACCACGCTAGAATCCGGGTTTCGATACCCGTGGTGGGCAGAGCACAGATAGCCCTTGTTTAGCTTTGTGCATAATTAAAAGAACAAAACAAATAAAAACTGAACAACGTAATAATAATACAAAATAATACAACCCAAACACTTGCAACACAATAAGGTTGAAAAATGTTACTACTTAAAGTGTTTGTTGAAAATGATGTAGTACAGCGACGTACAATAAGTTTTGCACCCTTTAATTCAAAAGGTAATTTTTTAATTATGTTGTTTTAGTAGGTTCCAAAGTGGATCACTGTGATGTTCAATTGAGTTTTTAGTTCTCACTTTCCTTTAAAAAGGTGAAAGAGGTGAAGATTAGAAATACTGTTTCGATTACATGGATAACACGCTTTTAATTAGCAAGCTGAGTTATTCTTGTCGGTGATTAATATAATAGTTGAGAGTGGACTCGTCCTTGATCTTCACTGCCTGTTGGCCAGCTAATCTTTCTTGTGTCAGGAACTTGGTGGTTTTATTAACTTATTTAAGACAAAGTTGGGGGTTGGGAAAGCAAGTTTGACATGCATTTTACAAAACTTTGACATAAGTATTAAACAAATTTTGTATAGTTTTTACATGGAGTATCAATGATTTTGACATAAGATTTAAATAGTTTTTGCAGCATTTCTATAACTTTAACCTCTATGAGGTTTCCGATATCTGGTAACAGATTAGTGTATTTTTCTCTCCATGAATGCTTCTTTCACCTGTAATTTAATTACGTTGTTTGCGTTCACTATGAGGGAACTTTGTATGAATTGCATCATGGAATAGTGGATCCTAGGTTTAAATTTAAAGTACAAATTATTATTGCTGTAGTGAACTCCAAATGAGAACTTACATTTTGGCAGAGGTTAAAGTGGGTGTTAACTTTATTGTTTTACGTTTTAACTTGGGAACAATTTGTGTTAGTATTTGTCATTTATATTTTAGCCTAAGTTGCAGGGAGAGGAACCCACACTAGAAAGTGCTCATTTGTCTATTAAAGCGTTCATCGCTCTTGCTAATTTTACACCTCTTTTTCACACACAGACAAGATCACTTGCCCTACTGTGAACTATATAGCTGTTATTGTACTATTGTGCATTGTTGTTTGTATTTTAAACAGTACGTTTGTCATTAAAATTTGTTCTGTGAGTATATTTTGTCTTGTCTCTTTCTCTGTAGCTCAACTATCGCAACTTGTTAAGAAATATTTTCCCAAGCTCGAAATCTGAGAACCTCCAGTTATTAACAAGCCAACTTTTTCTGCTTTGCTGGTCCTCTGAAAGATATCACGGTGTTATCAAAGACATGGAAGTCTATCTGCTGACCTTTTCTACTGCTGGCTAAAAATATCAGCCATTTTTAAAAAATAAAATTGTGCATATCATACAAAAAGTTTCTTAGAACTATATCTCATGTCCGTGACAGTGTGGGTAGCTTTCGAATGTATTCGACTGGCAAGTTTATACGTTATACATACCATAAATCTCTTTAAGATAATGGATAACTGCACCAATCTCTCGGTACATTTCCTTGTTTACTACAAATCCCTATTATTGGATCATCAGTTGAACCCACAAGCTTAATCCCTGTTATTAAATCATAAATTGATCCCACAAGCTTATCTCAAAATGAGTCATACAGTAAAACAGACAAGAAATCAATGTCCGGTGGTTAAGCGGAGTAGTGTAAATTTCTGTCTTCTAAAAATGCACTATATGTTAAACGTTTAGTATATGATTTCTGTTGCTTGATCAGTTTAAAGATCTTTACTGTGCCTTCTCATATTCAAATAAACACCTCACACGCAAACTGTTAATAGGTGTTTATTTGCTTTTAACCACAACGTAATTATACATATAGCGGTTTTTTAAATCATTTAAATCATTGTACTAATTTTCTGTTTATAATTTCAAGTACGATTGGTTGTTTTTAACATGAGTACTAAAACCATAATGATTTATATTTAACACTTGTGGTAACTTTTAACTGATGTTAATAGTATTTTGATGCAGCTACAATAAATTAATTTGAATTATGCTAGATTTAAATTATCTTTCTAGTATTTATGTGTTCTTTATTAATAGTTAGGCGGGCTAACACTTAAATCTTCTTAATTTTACAGCAAATATTCCACGTCACGTTTTTTGTTCAACTTGAGGCAGGATGGTGGGTAAAACAAAATACGCGGCCTAGCTATCTAATAAATTTATATTTGCAGTCAAATTCTTATTAATGCTATAAGTGCAGCTACCAGTTTGGCCGCCAATTTTGATTTCATTCTTTTAAGTCGCATGCTCAATCCTTTTTTTTGGCCGCACGTTTTTTTTTTCACACCTTAGGTGTCTTTG